CACTCTTGCACTGGACGAAGAGTCTGTTAGGAAGGTAGGAGAAGATACAACTGGAGGTCCTGCGATTTCTAGGCAATTGCGTCTTATTCGAATGTTGATGAGAGATCTTCTAATTGGAGTACGTTTGAAGAAATTCCAATTTTAATGTTTTTCTTTTATGGAAGTTAATTTTAATCATAAGTGCTCAAATACTGGCCCTGCAACAAGTGGAATCATATTTGTTCTATTATGGTTTATTTACTTCAGGTAAATTACCTGCATAGTCATGGTCTTGCCCATACAGAGTTGAGGCTGGAAAATGTGCATATAAGCCCAATAGACAGACATATCAAAGTAAGCACTGTCATTCTCCTGTAAATATAATCATGTCTTCTCTTCATTTATTTTTCTGTCTTTCATGTAGAGTGTGGGTTACCTTTGCGGTCTGGCTGGTCCTAGAGAAGGTTTTGTGCATCGCGTCTGCTATAGTCACAGAAAAACCTAGAAATTTATTTATATAGTTAGTTGGAACATTTCTGTTGTTCCGCAATATAGAAAACAAATATACTGTGATAGTTCTGGATTTGCTAAAATTGATTACCTGATAAGAAATGTAACCGACTGTATGATGGGAAAGATAACAGATAGGATATATGATGGTGGCGTATACTTGCTAGATGATAATTTCCACTGCACTGATAATTCTTTGCTCTGAATGTGTGATCTATGCATTCCAAGTTACTGGATATCAATACTTGGTGTTTCTTCATGTATGGTCAGGTCAACCTTTCCTCTCATGCTAAGTTTGACGTAAAGTAATTACTTAACAGGTAGGTATTTTGGGAAATGCTGCTGACTTTTGCGAGGATGGTTCAAATAGCGGCTCTATGGAAAACATGGACAGGCGACAAATGATGATTGCATTTGACATGAGGTATGGCTTAGGAAATTGTCAGTGAAGTTTACGTGCAGATGTATAATCTTTTTGATATCTGATTTATCTGTGTTGCAAAGATGCATGGGTTTCATAATGGCAAAAATGGTAATGGGAGAACTTATGGATCCTTTGATCTTTGCAAAGTTCAAATTGTTCCTCACAAAGGTACGGCACGTTAATCTCTTATTTAATTTTAGCCCCTTGCTTGTTTAAAAAGTGAATTTTTTAAGGAAAAGAAAAGACTACTTGACTCAAGTGCTTTTAGACTATGAAGGAAGTGCCCGAGGATGCCTTCTTGTCTATATTATGCCTCTCATACAAACTAAGACCTAAATAATTTGTTTCTTTTTCCCCTTTTTTGTAAGCTGTTCATTTATGCATGCCTATTCATGACATAAACCATTGTCATGAAAATTAGAAGATTCTGCTGTTGAAATAATGGTCTTTTGAGAATAATACTAAATTAATGGTTAAATTAAATGGCCATGATCTGTTATAGTTTACTTGTGAAACACTATTTCTAGGTCTACTGTAAGTGGACACTCACCCTCAGATTAGCTTTTTGATTACATTTCTGGTCTTACCATAATAAGCTATTAAGTAGTAGAACTGATGATAATTCAAATTAAGTAAGAGGATAATGAATGTAGTTTTTAAGAGAATTGGTTTTGCCATCCAAAAAGGGGTAGCGGCGCAGCTTGTTGCCCGTTTGCCTGCTATTTATGTATAATCTTGATTATATATATAAAAAAATAAGTATCTGGGTAAAAAAATGGAAACAAGTCATGACATATGATGATATATTGAAACCAAAACTAAAAAGTCAAAGATAGTCAAAGTTACCCTAGCAAATATAAATATTATGATATATTCTAACAAATATGTAGACAGATGTGCCTCAAACTTAGTGAAATAGATGATAAATCGGGTCATGCAATGATGTGAATTTTCTAATGATAATTCTGGCTACATCAAACTTCAGGGGAATGATCCTTCATGTTTGCGACAGCTTATGCTGGAAATCCTTGGTAGAAATTCTCCAAATGGAAATGCTGGCTTACAAGTAAGTATGCGACTATGCCTCTTCGGTGAAAGTGGTATGGTCTTGTGTTCCATTGTTGTTTTGAGAACGTTTGATGCCTTTTTAATATTATTTTCTTCTAGATGCTTGATAGGAACTGGGGTGCTGGTTGGCACCTTTTATCTTTATTGCTTGCAACCAAACCTTCTCAAAGGATAAGGTATGCCTTGAAGCAGTATCTACCTATTTGAAATGTGAATAATTTTCTAATTGATTCTCCTACTGAGCTGTGATTATCTTGCAAATATGCCAAGATTTCAAAAATTAAAAACTGTAATGTGGAACAAGAAAGCGCAGGTGCAAAACAATCATAAAGAGAAGTGTTAAAGTTTCTTTGGTATTTCTGGAGGCTTGTTCTTTTGGCAAACATTTTGCTAGTTTCTCAGCCGATTGTGGAAACACAAATAGAATTGGATTAGATATATTAGTTTGATTTGACCCAGATTGAAAAACTACCAGTGTTAACCAAGTTAACTGCTATACAGTTGTTTGGATGCTCTAAGGCACCCATTCCTTTGTGGGCCAAGATGGCGAGTAGTCCCATCAATGGATATTATCAGATGGGGTCTGGGTTGTACTGCAATGCGTATTAGTGAGGAGTACATATATCGTCAGCCTCAGGTATTCATTCATCCAAGGGTGGCACCATACATGCAATGTGTTACTTTGTTACATTTTGAGTATCATGTGCTCGTATAGGACATTTTTATATATTTGTTGGTGTCTGATGTGATGCACTCAAGTTTTTCCTTACTAAAGTTACGTTTGCATACTGAAATTAAATGTGATAGCATATAGCGTTCAACTTATGGGTATTTTCTATGTTTTAGCGCAGTAGGCTTGCCCACTTCATTGACTTATTGGAGATGTTGAATCCTAATCCAAAGCCAAAGGTAGTTCGTGAGTAAACGTTCTCCTAGAGTTTTCCTAATAATGTTGCTTGCTTCTACAAAAGATTTCTTTGAAACAGTTTCATTTCTTCAATCACTAAAATAAAGTACTTATTGCCCAAGAGCCTTAGATATTCTTCTCATGGTTGTCCATCTCTAGAATTAAATTGTAGAATCATATGATTCTATGCATCACAAATTGAGTTAACTCACGTCATGTACAAACTTGTTTCTTTGTAAACATGGGTAGACTTTTAATTGCCAATGAAAACAATCACAAAATCATGACCACGGATTTTATTCCTAATGTTATGCCAACTTATATGCCATTATCAATGTGTCCAGAATTGGCTGGAGCTGCTTCCAGGAAAATGGCGTCTATTGTACTGCACTGGGAAGCATGTTGGGCTGACTCTTCGACAACCTGCAGTCCGTGTACTAGTTGGAGATTTGCATTTATCTGTTAAAAGAGAATCAAAGTTGAAATCAAACCTTTCCTTCGTCTCTGACATTGGATTCTCAGTCATGATTGGTCAGGACTGGCCTCATGACAAGGCTGGTAAAAGAGGAAGAGTGCAGGTGAACTCTTCATTTACACTAAGAGCTGGGAGACGTTTATATCTGAAGCAAGACAATACCTCAGAGAAGCTCTCCTTTGGCCCTTCTGGCAACGAGGAGGCTTTAGCTCAGAAATTTACTAGCAAGAAATGGAGAAAAATAACCCCTTTCAAGGAGTTTCCATCAAGTCTCCCTGCAGCCAAGCTTGCGTCTGGTAATATTGATGTGACAATGAACCTTGATGATCCTTTAAATCAAAATATTGATACAGCAAAAAATGTTCTTCAAGAACTAAGAACACAAATTCCCCCTGAAATATTTGATCTGTCAAAGGTTGTGTGTGGAACTTATGTGGACTCAAGGCTGCTCGTTCTTCGAGGCGTTAATGGATCGGCTCTCCTATTTACAAGGTCTTTTGCGGATAGTGACATTTCTAGCTAATTGTTTTTATAGTAATTCACAAACCATCATTTGTATCTAATTCCATCTTAAAGGTTGGTCCATTTGTCCATCTTTCTAGTTTTATGACAGGTAGTTAAATGTAAAGTTGTAGTACTCTTTTTTCAAGTAGCACTCTTTCAAGTAAATTGTCATAGCATTGTGTATAGCAAAGCATTGTGTATAGCAAAGCATTGATTAATGATCAAAAACGCTTTTTTTAAGCAGTCTATTCTCTGTTAGGAATTGGAAGCATTATTTTTTAATGGACTTATAAGCATTTCAGATAATTTATCTACATGATAGGATGTCTTTGTAAAACATTTTTACTTTATTGATGTATGGTAATTTAATTATTCTTTTATTGGAGTAATAATTTAAGTTAGTTTTATACGATGTATGTGAATAGGTAATCATTTATTGGTATCATGTATTTTGTCTATAATTATAGTTTGAATTTTTTTTTTTAAAAGAAGCAAAAGAAATTATAATGAAAGATAAAACTTTTAGCGTAAGGCATGCTAGAAATACAAGAGTCATTACAATAGAAAACCTGCTACAATCAGATCCCAATTCTAAAAACACAAACATACCCCATTTCTAAATACAAAACATACCTCAATTCTACATAGCCAACCAACCTACCTGGTACACCTTTACAACATAACAACTACACCAACCACCTGACAGCAACCTGATTCTTTCACTAGCAGCAGCAAGCCGATCAAATGAGATGGGAATAATAAAAAACAGCACGTCGACATTCTAATCCAAACGAAAGAACAACCGGACAGAGGCCAAAGAATAGGTCATATCGGCGTCATCTACACGACACACAGCAAGACAGTAGAGTAGTAGCAGAATCTCTACTGCACTAAGCTGTCTGTCCAAAGAATAGGACATATCGGAGTCATCATCTACACTGACACACAGCAAAACAGTAGTAGCAGAATCTCTACTGCACTAAGCCGCACCCTTCTAATTCTGCAAAACAAACAACAATACTAGATAGCTGTAGCACCAAAAAGAAAGTCCACACCAGACTTTTCAAAAATCAAACTGAAACACAACTTAAATCTTTTTGGTTTAGAATGCCTCTTCTAAAGAGGTTATCTTTTCAGGCAATTTTATAGTGAAGCTTGACACGCAATGAAGAACAAATCATCTTGAACTTGAGCCTGATGCTATCCATGATCTCTTGCACCTGTAAACCTTCAGGATCCATTAGAGGATACTTTTGGATCAAGTCTTTGCATCTGAGAAATAGCAGTTTTGGCCCTGAAAGAGAACACAATCGTATCGACACGGATGGCAGATGTCCGTCCATATGTGGATACAGCCGCTGTAGAAGCTGAGTTCTTCACCAATCTCAAAACCGACCTTAAGTCCAACCTTCTTTCCCTCATCCTTGCCGGTAACAAGGCCATCCTTGTAGCCTTCCTTCAAATGAGTCTCCTCCAGATTTACTGAAGAATCAAACGGATCATACGTCATCATTCAATAGCTAATGCATAACCTCGGTAAGGCTGCCAAGGAGCTTGTCGCTGATATCCATAACCTCTCTGAACCGTAGGAGAAGATGAAGCCCACGGCTGCCTCCCGCGGCGGATACAGTTTCTTGCAGTGGCGCCTAAAATATGGAGGGGTGCAATTATTACTAACTAAAATATTATAATCAAAATCCGTAAGACTCATATATAATAATTTTATGTCTAATCATTCTATAGACTTAAAATCCACAATTAAATTACTAATAACATTATCAAGTATAAAAAAATTATTTTTTAAATTGATAAAAATATACAGTTCATTATTGTCAAATAAATTCAAAAATCAGCCCCATCTATTGTTTTTTATTTTTATTTTTTTACATTAAGGTCTTGAGATAATATCTCTTTCTGTGTAATGAATAATTTATGTTGGCATATGATAAATGCATTTTATATGTTTTTTTCGAGCTCATTTTGGTTGAATAAGTGACTTCACACATAAAAAGAGACTGAATTACAATATTTAAAATTCGTAATTAATTTTAAAAAATTATTTATTTAAATTTACAGTTTGTGTTAGTATTAAGATAACACAGAGAAAATAACAAAAATAAGTAAAATGGAGAAAATAAATGATAAAAGATAAAGAAATAGGGTTAGAAAGATGACACTGAAATTTATAGAGGCTAAGATGAATTTTGTCTTAGTCCTCTTCCCAAGAGATCTTTTTGGGAGTTTTAATAATGACTTGAACCTATTCAGGTTATGCCCATGAATCTTTGTTACAAGCAAATCGAGAAATTTTACAGTGAATTATCCCCCATAACTTTTACTAGGCTAAGTTCAAAACTCGAGTAGATATTTTATCGACTAATCTATATAACTAAATAGAACTTTTACAAGTTCTAGAATCAAACACATTTTTTCATTGGTTTATCTCTAGAACTAAACAAGTAACTTCAAAAGAATCACACTCTTGAAATAACCAAACAAGGGCACGACACCAATATAAACTTCATGACAAGTAGTTTCACTTACAAGGTACAAAGGTAATTTTTGGTGAAAGAAAAATATCAAAAAGAAAGGAGGAGAATAATAAGATTTAATGTGATAGAGAAATCTAAATTCTTGTGAGATTTCAAATGAAAAGAAGTCTTTTTTATATAGGAGAAAATGTGGCTAAAAAATTATACAATTCATGATTCGTTTTAATGGAATAATCAATTAGCATAATTGATTATTACAAGAGAATAATTGATTATTCAGGCCACAAATGAAAAAAGTTAATCTCTATTTTTTTGCCAATAATTAAAATATTGTTCTAATCGATTATAGGCATTATAAAATGAAAATACTCGACTATAGCACTAGGGTTAATCAATTATTATTTGTAAAAAGTATTTTTAATTGATCAGAAAATTCCCTAATCAATTAGCTAGGCGTTTAAAACATTTTTAAGTGGTTTTATCAAACCAAGAGAAACTTCTCAAAGGTTTAGTGTGTGTGATTTGACTTAGCAACTTAGGAGTTACTCTTATACTTTTGCAAAAATCTGGTCACTCAGACAGACACGAACTGACAAGCTTTCACACTTTCTCTCTTTTGCAACTATGAAGCTTCAAGTTCCTTTGTCAGATACATTGATCATATAAGCACTTCACTGAAACATTAATTTTTTTTACTTCATGAGGTTTGAGATGTCTTCAAATTTAGAAACCATCATAAGAGAGTGGTAAAGTTATTACTATTGATTTCAACAAGCATCAATGTTGTCGCCATCAAAACACCAACGCATTTAAATCCATCAGGATCATTGGTTTAGCAATAGTTGTATTAGCTCTATCTGCAAGCACATAGATCCACATTCTTCCCATTTTTTATTATGACAATCCATCTCTTAGGGGGTGGTAAAAGAGAAGACAAAGATATAAAATTTGGAGTGGTTAAACTCTCCCTCACATTAGTTAAGAGTATACTCTACTCTCTAAGAGTATATTTCTTCCACTTTGACATAATCAAAAAGGCGAAAAGAAAAGAATATAGCACATAGGTCATATTTAATCATTTAGAGAAAAGGAGGAAAAATAAGAATAAGATACAATTAACATCCATGCATGATGATTTAAGATTCCTAATTCAGTTCTTATGAAGACGAATTTTTCCTTAAGAAAATGTATAGTAAAAATGTTAGTGAGTTAATTAGATGAAGACACAAACTCAATTATGTATTCCCGTTTCTCAATATGATCCCTAATAAAGCGGTTTCATGTGTTTATCTCGAGAGTGAAGTAATGTTTTTTTGGTGAGGTTTATGGCACTAGTGTTGCCTGATGGGGTATTTTGCAAGTGCACGAAAAGTATCAGAGTAATACAAAAAGTGTCGAACCCACAGAGACCTAATAGTCAAGCTATCATTTTCTATTGCCACGGTGTTTATCTGCGATTAAAATGATGATTGGAGATATGGAGAATAAAGTAGAATAAAGGAATATAATTAATTAATTCAAAAATGAAATGCTGGAATGTGGATTTCATCAATTCGTTGATACTCTTATTGTTCCTAAATTGAACTACCTATGGGACAATATTTTCCATTTTGAAAAAGAACTAATTAAAAAAGAACAGTCATTGTCGCGTAATCGGAACCGAATTTTACCCTCTAATTTATACCGTTCGACCTCGCGTGTCCGGCCCATTTTTCTTTAAAGCAGTAAATACCTTTTTTAGAAATAATTTTCTTTTACTCAGATGAAAAGTAGTTTTAACCGGAAAATTACTTTAAAGGGTTTCCGGCGTTCGCTTGGCCAATCGTACCTTAAACACATAAACGCGTCCGAAAATGGGTTTAAAAACACTTTCTGAAAAAACTAGTTTTCCTAATTAATTAACAAAGAGCTTTCGTGGTATTTAACAATTAAAAACTAAACAACCTTAATCTTTTGTACCGGACGACTTTCGATCTTACCAGGAATATAAATGGTTCCACTTTCATAGTAACCGACAAAATTAAGTTTAGAAAAGTTATTATAAAATTAAAACAGCCCCATAAGTATTTCTCAAAGAACAACAATTTAGAGTACAGTCGAATCGACGATCCTCACATTCCAACACTTATAATTTAACTAGGCATGATTATAATATATGACAAAAAATTGATTCGATCATGGAATAAAATATAATAGGCATAGAAATGAAGGTTGGAAACATGTAATTGATGGTAATATAATAAAAACCTACTCCGAAGAGACTTTAATCTGGTACAAGAAGTAAATCAACTGGAAAACTTGAATGTGGGAAATAAAATGGAGGTAAGATTAAACTTCTACAAAAGTTTCTCCAAACTCGATACAGACTCAATCGACAGTGCTATAACCCTCTGATGTGAAGAGTTAAAGCTTACAAAATGCAACAATATATGGCTTTAATTTGTAATAAGCTTGGATATCAGCAAATCCGTAGGTTTCCAGATTTTATGAATAGTTGTAGGATCTATGAAGAAGATAACAAAGCTCATTCGGATCACTTTAAGAGTCTGAATGATAAGAGAGTAAAACAACATCAGAACTGTATGGAGCCTTATGATACTCCGGTTGATAAAGGAAAGCATAAGGTTTCCGATGGAAAGAAGACAAGTAGGGGAGGAGCTCCCACTCATGTCAAATGTTATAGGTGTGGTGAACAAGGTCACCATTCTAATGAATGTGATAATAAGGTTCTGAGATGTTACAAATGTGGTAAGACATGTCATCGTGCTTCTGAGTGTAAGAACGATGGTCCAACTTTCTTTAATTATAGAGAGCAGGGCCATATAAGTATCCAGTGTTAGAAGCCAAAGAATAATTTTGCTGCTACCCATACCAACGGTAGGGTGTTCGCTCTGAGTGGATCAGAGGACTCTAAGAAGTACAACTTGATTCTAGGTACCTGTTTTATTAACAATGTTAAATTGGTTGCTATTATTGATACTGATGCTACTCATTCGTTTATTTCACGTGAATATGATAATATGTTAGGATTGAAGTTGTCTAATACGAATGGTAGTATGATAATAGATACTCCTGCTAATGGTTATGTTACTACTACATATGTTTGTTCGAGATATCCTTTGACTATCTTTGGCAAGAGTTTTGTGATAGATTTGGTGAGTCTATTCTTACACCAAATTGACGTTATTCTTGGGATGAACTGGTTGGAGTTTAACTATGTTCATATCAATTGTTATAATAAAACTTTGAGATTCCCTAAGTTTGGTGATAATGGAGAACTGATGTTGTTGTCTGCTAAGCAAGTGAATGAACTTTTAGAAGATGAAGCTTTGATGTTTGCAATGTTTTTGTCGTTGCAAGTTGATCGTGAAGTTGCAAGCGTTAAATTACCTGTTGTTTGTGAATTTCCTGAGATATTTCCAGATGATATAAATGATTTACCTCTAGAACATGAAGTAGAATTTTCTATAGAATTGATTCCAGGTACAAGTCTCGTGTCCATGGCTCCTTACAGAATGTCAGCTTCCGAGTTGAGTGAGTTGAATAAACACGAGAAGAAGTTTGTTTGACCGAGTGTTTCTCCGTGGGGTGCACCCGTGTTGTTGGTTAATAAGAAAGATAAGAGTATGATATTGTGTGTGGACTATAAGTAGCTGAATAAAGTGACTATTAAAAATAAGTATCCACTGCCGAAATTGATGATTTGATGGACCAGTTAATGAGTGCTTGTGTTTTTAGCAAGATTGATTTGAGGTCAGGTTATCATCAGATACATGTTAAACCAGATGATATTATGAAGACAGATTTTCGAATAAGGTATGGCCATTATGAGTACACTGTGGTGTAGTTTGGTGTATCTAATACGCCAGGTGTTTTCGTGGAGTATATGAATCGAAAATTTCATTCGTATATGGAAAAGTTTTTTGTGGTCTTCATTGATGATATTCTAATCTATTTAAATCAATAGAAAAACATACGGAGCATTTGAGAATTATGTTGCAAGTGTTAAAGGAATAGAAGT